AAGTTCTCCAAAATAAAAACCAAGTGTTTAAAACACTTATTTGATGTATTTGGCTAAGAAATCAAGTGAGACACTTTAAAAATCACGTCATTTGAGTAAAAACCACGGCTAGCCAAGTTTACGCCGTTTTGCGTGGTTTTTGTCAAACGACTAAAAGCGAGAGATGGTTTTCAAAGTGTTTTTGTTGGAGAACCGTTTAGACATGCCAAAGAGTGAAAGCAGATTATAAAATGCTGAAAACCACTTGGTTGGTTCGGATGCCAAAAACCAAACTCGACAACCGAAAGCCGAACGCTGGTTTCTGAAAGCCGAACACTGGATGGCTTGGTTTTTGGTTTGGGCGAACACCAAGTGTTTTTAATGACTTAAACAAGTTTAAAACCATTTTTATGATGTAATAAATGCAATGAGAGTTTTTTGCCTAAAGAGCCAAAGTGTAAAGATTGGGTCGGTCTTGATCACAATAAAGACCGACTCAATACTATGATTAAGGTCTTCGTTCTTGGTCTTCGTTTAGCTCTTGCTCTTATCTTCGTTCTTCGCCTTGTATATTCAATGTTCGACTTGATCACGGCGGTTTGGCATAATCAAAACCTGTTACAAAAACGAACACGGCTTTAGTACGAAAACGTGACAAGCCCGTGTTTCAACAGTAATGAAATGTGAGACGAAGAGAGTATTTTAAAAAATGAGTAGGGATCACTCTTCATGTGTTGTTCATAGTGTAGCCTTTCATTGTTCACCGGTGCTTCAAAAAACTTCAAGTGTCTAATGAATGTGATTCTCTAAAAGTGAAATTTGCACTGAATAGAACTAACATATAAATCATTTCCCAATTTAGGACTTAAACTTTTTTATTCGCTAAATAAGACTTAACAATGACTAGTGAAAAGAATAATGCCCAAGTGATGCTGGACATTTAGTTGAATAATGACTAATAGATAATGACCAATGGTCTTACATTGAAAAATAAAAACATATGGTCCTATATTGAAAAAGTCATTATGTTTTAGTCCTGTTTAGGTAAATTACTCATATTGAGTTTACACCCATCAGAGTCCTGCATCATATGCTCATGCGGTCTCGACACTTATATATTTTTACCTCGTAAGATTAGATTGAGCTTTAGTTAGACTTCCCAGTCAAACCCAAAAGGTTTAGATGTCTAACAAATGTGATTTTAAAAATAGCATCATCATATTTCTTGAGAAGTTACCCCCTAGTTAATATTGATCGCTCATCTTGACCAGTCAATATTGGGTTTAGACCCATGAGAGTCGTGTTCGATATGGTCATGAGGTCCCGATACTCATATGTTTTTACCGCATAAGATTAGATTGAGCTTAAGTTGTCAGACTTCTTAATCTAACCCAAAAGCTTCAGATGTCTAACGAATGTCGAAATGTGATTCCTCAAAATAACATGGTCATGTTTTTTGAAAAACTAGTATTTTTACCCGTGCCACGCACGGGTTTGGATGAATTTTTTGACACTTCTGTAAATTAACTTCAATGCAATATTTTAAATTGAATTTATGTATGAAGAGAAATCTTTGTATATTATTTATGTATGAAGAGAAATCTTTGTTTATTATTTAAAAAAAACTCAATTCTAGTCCAGTCATATATTGATTTTTTAATTGTTCAATCTAGTTATTGAAATGTATTGTTTGTTTTTAATTTGAGTAAATTACATAAAAGGTCCCCAGTTATGGTTCATTTTACATATTTAGTCCCTAATATCAAATATCAATAATTTAGTCCCCAATTATTATATTATTTTCCACGAATGATTCTTTGTTAACATTTACGCTAAAAACGTGGATAAAATTATAAATTTACGCTCCTCTCTCTCCTCAATTAAGCTTCCTCCCTCCACTCGCACTCTTTTCCCAAACCCGTCGCTGAACTTTGAATCCAAAACCGAAATCATCACTCATCTCTCAAGTCTCAATTGTTCGTCTTCTTGGTGGAATCCAAAATCGAAACCACTAACCTTCATTGATTGGTTTTAAGGTTTGTTTTCTTTGCAATTTCCTGAGACTCACCCATAAAACTCATCCACGAAGGTAACTAGTTTCAAATTGGGTTCCACCAGAAAGATGAACGGTTGAGAGATGAGTGATCGTTTAGGTTTTGGGTTTTGAGCTTCAAACTCAACGACAGATTTGGAAAAGGAGTGAGAGAGGAGGGAGGAAGCTTAATTGAATAGAGAGAAGAGTGTGAATTTATAATTTTATCCATGTTTTTAACGGAAATGTTAACAAAAGACCATTTGTGGAAAATAATATAATAATTGGGACTAAATTATTGATATTTGATATGTAGGAACTAAATATGTAAAATGAGCTCTAACTGGGGACCTTTTATGGAATTTACTCTTTTAATTTTACATTGTTATTGAAATAAATAGAATCAAAACTAATTTAATTTTAAAATATTATAAACTAATACTTGTATGAAAATTATTTAAATGTGAAAAAATCATCTTATTTATTAATCATTTTTTTATAAATGAAGCGAGTAAAAACTATTTTAATGCTTTGGAAAGAGTATTTTCATAAAAATGATTATTTCTCTTTAACGATTAAACTTATTCAAATATTTTATACCAAATAATTGAATTCATATTTTCTATATCTTAAATTAAGTGATACCTTAAGTGTCATAAAAGTATAAAATTTATTTATAGGTAAATGAAGTATTTTATTTAATAGGTGTCAATATTTAAATAAATACAATCCAAGGAATATCATGTAAATGTAAAATGAATAAATATAAAATTTATTTATGGGGGAGAAGTGTATTTTATTTATTAGTATAAAATTTTTCTGAAAATTTTATGATTTAACGAATTCGAGACAGGTATTAAAAATATTTGTACGTACAGTCCTGAAAAAAATGCTATTTTATTAAAAGTTATAATTTACACGGAAAATAATTTTGATTCTAAATTTGAATTCATGGGTTCAAAATAAGTAATTACTCTATATCATTTTTGTAAAAAGAGTAAAAAATGTGAAATAATGAAAGAGAGTAAATTTGGTTAAATTGACACCTAGTATGCCACATGTCAAGTTCTTAATGCGCCACATGTCAAGCTTTGAATATGCCAAATGTCATGTTCTTAAAGCTCCAAGTCTCATTTATATATATAAAGGATTAGTCCCCAGATAATATTGTTGTGGGTCCAGCCCACTTTTACCTTCCATTATTTTTTTTGTGGCCCAAGGCATTCTCATTTCCTTTTGATGGCCTAAAAGAAGAAAAGAGAGGGGGAAGTGGAAATTGGGGGTAGCCGACTTACGAACAGAAAGGAAAAAATGGAACAGAGAGGGGGTTTAGACAATGCAGAATTCTATGGACAGGTTGAGCTGAAATTTTCAAAGATTATTCCCAACACCCACAACCTCAATCTGATCATTTTTTACGCTAGTTGGAGATACCAGTATCCTGTTATCGTGGCTGGTTCAGCTTGCGTTTTTTGGGTGATTTTTCCAATTTTTCCTTCTCTCTTATTTATTGCGCGTATATATGTTGTTGTTGGTGGGCTGTGACATCCTTGTAGACTAAGTTAGGTGTTTTTACCCTCAATTTGCATAATAAGATAAGAAGAGGGCGAACCCCCTATAAGTTTTGTGGTTTTTATCATTCACATCGAAGAGGTTTTTCACGTATAAAAATCGTGTGTCGTTTGTATCTTTATTCTTCATATTTGGTTGTGGTTGTTGCTTGATGTGCTGTTGATCTTTATTGGTGATTATATTGGTATATTGTTTGTGGTGAATTGGGTAATGTGTGTTTGGTTGATTGCCTTGAAGTTGATCCTTGTAGTTATTGTATCCTACTTGTTGCTTCTCCCCTCACATCTGGTATCAGAGCATTGGTTTAGACCGTAGATATGGAATCTGGAAATAATTTTATGGTTAAATTGACATCAACCAATTACTCCATTTGGCTTCCTATAATGGAAGATTTGCTATATTGTAAAGATTTATTTGACCCAATTAATGTAGATAAAACCAAGAGAGATGATGTGCCCACTAAACTTGAAAAGATGACAGATAAAGATCGGGAAAAATTGAAGAGAAAGACCTTGCAAAATATAAATAAGGGATTGATATTAGCATATTCAATCATGTATCTTAGGAGACTGAGCCACTTGAGTTGTGGATAAAATTGGAGGGTCTTTATGAGAGAAAGACAACTCATAACAAGGCCTCGTTGATTAAGAGGCTTGTTAGTCTCAAGTTGAAGCCAGAGAAGTATGTTTCTGAGCATCTTAGTGACTTTCAAGATATCATTAACAGGTTGATTGTGATGAAATTCATTTTTGATGATGAGTTATAGGCTTTATTCCTATTGAGTTCTTTGCCACATAGTTGGGAAACCTTGGTTGTGTCTATTAGCAACTCAGCTCCAGATGGTATGTTTCATTGGATGTCATTAAAAAGAGCATGTTCAATGAAGAGCTTAGAAGAAAGGAGATGGGTGTTGATGTTTCATAGGCACTTGTGGTAGAGAATAGATGA